CCAACTTTAAAATGTTCAGCATCCAAGCAGTGGGCTGGACTTGGTGCATTTAAAAACACAAGCTTTTGTGTTCTGAATGCTGTTTTTCTTTCCCCCCCATTCTCTAGGAAACAGCTCCATTGTTTTCTTCTGATTATATAAAAGGTACTTCTTCCCAGTGAAGAAGTCAGGGGGTTTCTGCAGATCTGGCCTCCCACACTGGGTGAGCCTTGGGAGGTGGGGTCCTCCTTTTCATCTCCACCAGGGAAGGGCTCGGGCCTGTCTGGGGAATTTAAATGAGCAGGAACTGACTGCCTGTGTGGGAGGAGGGCAGGGAGGAACCTGGCCAGAGAACCTTGGAGAACAGCCAACTGGAGGAAAGGCACAGTGGGCTCCCAAGCTCCTGCTGCTCTTCCCCTGAGTTCAGCTCCAGCTGGCTCGGCTTTCCCTCCCCACAGCAGGCATGCCACCATGCTCATCACCTCTGGTATCAGGCCCCCAAACCATGCGTTATCCCAAGAACCTTATCTTCCTTAATCCTCACAAAGATGGGGAGATTATTCTCCTGGCACTAATGAAGAGTTCAGGCTGAGAGAGGTAAGATAATTTGTCCCAGGACACATAGCACAGGTGTGAGAAGTGCAGTCAGGTCTGTCAACCCCAAAGCCTGTGTTCTTTGATCACCCTGAGCCTTCCTGGAAAAGGGCGCTGAGGCAGAACAATCTCTCATACTCCTCAGCTGCTCAGAGGGCTGGGACTGTGTTCCAGCTTTGGCCGAGATGCCAGTGAAGTTGGTGAGGCGACTGATAGGTGTGGACTTTTAAGGGCAGAAAAACCTGTCTGGCTCTTTCTTGCTTTCTTCCTAAAGACACTAAGGAATCGTGTACAGGTAGCCCCAGTGGGTCACCTCCAACCCTGGCCAATGGGAGACAGCTCAGCACTCTCCTGCCCCGCCCCTATCCCGGGCCCCAGCCCTGCAAGGGAGAGACACAGGCATGAAGCAACACTGGATCTCTCTTCTCAGTCCCCATGTTTGCTTACAAGTAGTGACTCTCGGAAAACAGCCACGCTTTGATACCTGCTGACTGAGGTCAGGTCTTGGCCATCCTGCCTCGTTAGATAAGTCTCTGATCCCTTTCCCCACCTCCAAAGTGGGACCCATTCTAACTCCCACCTGTTGGTGTCAAGGGGGAGTATATAAAGTGCTCTGCAAATAAAGTCCCATTAAAGGTCGATGTCCTCCCTCTCCATCCTTACTTACCGTCCCTCCACTGGACTTGGGGGAAGGAAAAGAGAATAAGGTTTACAGTCTCTGAGCCGGATCAGTTCCCATCTCTGTCGTCGCCCTTCTCCCAAGCTCTTAATAATCAGCGTTCCTTTCCTTAAGGAGAAGGGTTCAGAGGGGAAGAGACTTGCTCAAGGCCACACCTAAGTACCAGGATATAAACTCAGGTATCTACCTCTCACCTTGCGCCCCTTTACAGACAGGACTCAAGACACTGGGAGCAGAAAACGAGGCCAGAGCGGAAGGTGCTTGCCTAAGGTCTGTAGGAAGTGGCTGTCAGGTTTCTAAGGCCCTTCTTCCAGCTGCTCCTGGGGGGTCCCACCTTCAAGGGATGCCCAGGTCCTGCCACCCAAATTCCCCTGGGTGTCACATCTGGACTAGTGAGCCTATGGGCTGCCTTCCTGATCCTACCCCAAGCTGGCAACCATGAACTCAGCACAGCCTCATGTGCCTTTGTGTCTTCAAAATGTCTTGTACAGGAGGCCAGCAAAGCCTCTTAGGAAATGGGGGGGAAGTGCTGCACCCTCCACACCTTTCTAGACGGCCCCCGCCTTCGCACTGTTCCTCGCCTTTCTCTAGGCGCTGCACTTAAATGAATAGACCCCGGGTGGGTAGGGCTGACATCACCCTTCTCGTTTTACAGTAAGGGAACCCAGAGAAGCTGAGCAATTGGATCAAGGTCCCACTACAAAGGGGCTGACTTCAACTAGAAACCACACTTCTTGGGGCTCCAGATGGGAACCGGAGGAGGTGGGAGTAGGGCCACAGGAAGGGGAGAGACTTGAGAATTCAGGGCCTCTGGGAGGTATCACCCACAGCAGGACTTTTCCCCTCTCTGAGCCTCAGTTGTCGTTACCTCTAAAATGGGGGTGAGCAGACTGGGTCTGGCATCTGTAAACTCTCCCTTCACTTATTCTCAGGTTGTTTGTGGACAAGCTAGAGGACAGCTAAGGGAAATAACTCCCTGTTCCTCCCCCAGTGGCAGCTTAAATCCCAAGGAAAGAAGGCATCTTGAATCAAGGCCAAGAGTCTCTGGAAGGTGCCAAATGAACTTGAACCTTCAACTCTGAAGAGCAAGCCCAGCAAGGAAAACACTGGGCCTGGCAAAAACCATGATGGGAGGACAGAACCCTGTGCTCTGGCTCAGCCACTACCTAGCCATTTGGACTTGACCCGTCCCTTCCTCTGTGTACCTCAGTCTCCCTTCTGTCCCATGAGGTGACGTTTCAGTCCCTCCAGCTCTAAGAGTTTTGGAAACAGCTATCACAGAGTTCTCTCCCTCAGAGGCACAGACGAAGAGATATGTTTCAACAAGTTAGGCAAAATGTTTCACAGGAATTAGGTTCTGCCGGGGCACCCTGACTGAGGACAAAGCCACTGGCCCAGGAGGGGCCAGCCTAGGCCATGAGAGACCCAAGAGCATGAGGTCTTGGCTACCAGAGGTGTCCAGGCAGAGGATGGAGGGCAAGCAGGTGTCTTGGTGAGACCTCTGACATCCGTTAGGAGCTTCTGGTGCTCTGCATTTCCTCTCCTGAGACTATCCCCACCCCCAGCAGCACAGAATCCTCCAGGCCTCCCTTTCCTCCCCAGGACAGGGAGGACTCACACATTAGCCCCATGCTGATGCCTAGCAGAGTGGCTCTCTGAAAGTTGGGGGTGGGCAATGCATCCTGGTCAAAAGCACTGGTTTGAAACGAGGCAGTGCTGGGTTCAAATCCTGACTTTGCCAGTTAACTGAGCAAGTAACTTAATATTCTGAAATGTTTCCTCCCCCTCAAAAATGGGCGTATTAAGCCTTTTTGGATGAGAAGATGCAATGTCAAGTGCTTAGCATGAAATAGCCGCTGCTGTTATAGCTCTGCAGACAGGCTGCGGCCGTTTGGAAAGGTCGGGGGCTGAGAGAGCTGGAAGGAGAAGGGGGTTGCTGGGGGAAGGGCATTGTCAATGTCTGTAACAGTTTCTGGGAAACAGAGTCCCGGAGAAGCCAGGCGTCCTTCAGAGGCATCTGTATAGTGATGCATATGTCGGCTCATGGACACGCCATTGGGCATGTGTGGAAGCTAGTGCCTGCACGTGGATGTGCATAGATATACTGCCAGTCTCCTCTGCTGATGCCACCCCACAGACCCTAGGTTGTTTGTTACACGTGGCTATGAGAACACATATGGGGATCCTCACACATCAGAGCCCTTGGGTTTGGCTCTATCCTCTCATTTTACAGATGGCAAGACTGAGGCCTACATATGGGGGGACTGAGGGCAAAACCTGAAGAGGGTCCCAGACATCCTTACTCCCCATCCTTCCATTGAGCGTTACTCCTCAGGGACCTATCACCCACTGGGACACCTACCTACGGCATCTGGCTCTGGCTCCGTGCCCAGGTACCGTCCCTGGGACCGTGAATCCACCAGCTGGAACCTCTTAGATTCTAGGTTTTCCAGCACCTGTTCATAGGTCTTGAGCAGAGAGCGGTCAAGTGTGGCTTTGAAGACTGCGGGCTCTGGGCGTGAGGGCTCAGATGTCACAGGGTGGCCCTCCTTCAGCCAGTTCCGGAAGCCGCCATTGAGCACGGACACAGTGCGGTGGCCAAACACACGGAACATCCACCAGACCCGCGGCGCATAGAAGCTGCCCAGGTTGTCGCCATCATACACCACCACGTGCGTGTCGTTGCTGATGCCCAAGCGGCCCACATAGTCAGAGAAGCCCGCCTCGCTGGGAAGCATCATCTCATAGGGTGACGACTTGTCCTTGCACTCCTCTATATCAAAGAAGGAGGCGCCCGGCACGTGGCGCTCTAGATACTCCTTGCGAGCCTCCCGAGTGCCCGGTGAGTACCAGGAAGCATCCAGTACCCGCAGGCCAGGCCCCAGCTTGCCAGCCCTGACAGATTCCGCCAGCCACTTGGTGGAGACCAGTGCCCGGTAGAGCACCTGATGAACCATGGTTTCAGCTCTGCGCGTCACCTGGCGCGGGTGGGAACCAGAAAAGAGCCATGAGGACCTTGTGTGCAGCGCCTGGGGCCCGGGAGGAGGGACTTTTTCCCATCGATACCCTCCTCCCCCGGGGGTGGGGGGGGGGAAGGGGTGTTTCTACTAACCGAGCAGAGCTGGGGCTTGCAAGGGAATAAGTCTGCAGATTCCCTAAGGAATGCCTCCCCGCCCCTTCCTGGGTCCCCAGACGGAAGGGAGTGGGGCAAGAGCTTCCGAGGGGTCCAGGGGGAGCTGGCCCTAGAAGCTGCCAAACTTGCCCTCGGGGTCCTGCCAGAAAAGAGCAGCGTAAAGACGCCCAGGATGAGGAAGAGGGCATCTTGGGTTTCGAGCCCCCTTTCCTGGGAGGGCAGGGGAGTGGGCGCGTCGGGGGAGGGTTCGCTGGAGCCCCGCACACGCCCCCGCTCGCACCTTGGGTCTCGCAACCCCTCCTGCGGTTTCTCAGCAGCTGAGGCTCCCCCGCCCTCAGGATTCCCAAGTCCAGCCCCAGCTCGGTGCCCTCTACCCAGATGGGTCAGGGGCTCCCGGGGTACCGCGCCTGCCCTCGCCACAGGGACCCTCCCCTGGGTCGCAGGTGGTCCGACTTGCGGCCCAGTCCTGAGCGGCTCGGGAACTGGCCGCTGCCCCCACCGCGCCGCACTTACTCGCCCTCGGCGCCGCCCTGGTGATGCCCGCCCCGGCCCTCTGAAGAAGCTGGAGGTTC